TATTGGTAGGAAGATTTAGAGGAACGCACCTAGTCCAGAGTCCATTGTCTGCATGATCATTTCCAAAGTTTAACCGTGGAAGTGGTACATTCCCGAACGTGAGTATCGCCACTCACTGATGTTGCCGACTACGATGCCGGCAAAACGTTTGGGAATGTACCACGTCCACGGTTCAACTTTGGAAATGATCATACAGACAATGGACTCTGGACTAGGTACGTTCCTCTAAATCTTCCTACCAATATGACCATGTTGCGAAAACAAGGTCAAACAACCTCTATACAACGAAAGTAGACTGCGACTACACAAAAGGCCACACCATCTTGGCTTTCATACCTTTAATGGTTTAATGTTCGGGTCACAGGAAAATATGCTGCAAACCCATTTGCCGGAAATAGCCCTGTTGGAAGTGAGCGTTTCTTACCACATTACATTGAGAGAAATGTTTAATTTTACATTAAAATTTGTTGTGTCCCGCACTCAAAAAGGCGATTCTCATGCAGGTTCACTTACGTAAGGGAAGTAGCTAGGTTTCGATGAATCTCATGAGATAACATTGTTGTGGAAACGTTTATTTAGTCTGGAAGTGTATGTTTAAGAGGTTTGTTGACTGATTTCACCGAAAGACGAAGGAGGATTTCCTTTGTTCTGCAGCCATTTTGAGTTAATAAAACGTTAAGGCTGATGTAGTCCACGAGAAAGCCTCCCTCATTTCGAGCGAAAATAGGCTGAGCTTGCATTCTTTGTGGAACGGACACTTTCAGAGCTGGAATTAATTCTTGTAAAAGATTTAGGTAGTCACTAAGTTAAGAAGACGGTCCGATTCTATCCTACATGACATATATACTCAACTGAAAACGAAAATTAATACATATATATGATATTTATACATGAGTGTATGCGCATGTGATCTCCATAAAATGACGGAATAAATGTTTGACTTTTCACCCAAACCAGGGAGGAGGTATCGTGGACTGCTTCAATTCGAGGATCGCATTTAAGCCTATCGACCTATAAATCTCTTCATCACGAACCCTCATGCAATCTGAAACGTTTCACAACAAGAATAGTCTACACCTCCAAAATGTGACAATATGCAGTCATATCAAAACTATAAGCGATTCAAGGCATTCAGAGAATCATTTGGGTCGTAGTTAATAATAAGGGTCTGGAAAAACAGGCACAGGCTAAAGTTCACAGAAGTATACACATTGTTTTTGGCTTAAAATAAAGACTCAAAGGAAAGTTTAGTTTGCTGCCTCAGGCAGAGCGTTGAGGGAGACGAAGTTGGATTGTACTGCAGTTTGACTGGAGTGATGCTCTTCTAGAGAAGGATAGGTCAGTTGGATTGTTAAAAAATCGGTCTATTGTCTGAAGATGAGTTCACACTCGAATCCCGTATACCAGGGCCTGGGGAAGCCTAAATATCGATTCTGTCTGACGATGTGATCGTCCAGTCAGTCGGTAGTTTTGACCAGAATTGTTGTCCCAGGCTTCGTGGCTCGAGGCAAAATCGTCTGATTCGGATTCGCTACATCTATCCGTCTCGTCTACGAACAGCCTAGTTTCCAGCTGGCCCCACCGATAGCGGACGGCGAACTCGATCTCTCTGACTCCCTTCGGCATGTCAAGTTGAAATGAGAATGTGTCACAGGTTGAAGTGAATGGCGTCGGACCATTTGTTGATCGCAAGTAGCTTCCAAACGGCATGAGACTACCGGCCTCAGCCGGAGTGTAGCAGGCCTCATAGTCTGTGAAGCTGCGCCATGAATCTGTTGTCACGCGAA